AGCAGACTATGCATCAGTAGGCCTCAACATATACAAAGGAAAAAGCAAAATCCTCAAATACAACACGGCGAATACTAACCCAATCACACTTGATGGAGAAATCCTGAAAGATGTGGAATCTTTCACGTACCTTGAGAGCATCGTCAATGAACCAGATCGGAAGCAGACATAAAGGCTAGAATTGACAAAGCAAGGATCGTATTCCTACAACTGAAGAACATTGAAACTCAAAACAACTGTCAACTTATTTCAACGTGAGAATCTTCAATACGAACATCAAGACAGTTCTAATGTACGGAGCTGAAACGTTTGGCCGGATACCATCAGCAACAGCCTACTGAGGGAGAGGACAAACCAGCTTCCAGGTGAAGAGGAAAAGACGTTGGAAGTGGATAGGACATACATTAAGGAAATCAACAAAATGCATCACAAGGCAATCCCTAACTTGGGATCTTGAAGAAAGATGGAAAAGAGGAAGGCCAAAGAACACGTTACGCCGAGAAATAGAAGCAGATATGAAAAGGAAGAATAGTAACTGGAGAGAATTGCCCAGGACAGGGTTGGATGGAGAATGCCGGTAGGCGGCCTCTGCTCCTCCACGAGGGGAAACAAGCGTAAGTAAATAAGTATTTTAGTAGACCAGTCCTCCTAGTAGGATTATGAATTTACTCGAGAACATACAAAAACCAGAACACCAGTTATTGTGACAGTGTATTATTAACAATTCATAAAATCCATAAGCACGAAAAAGGCAAGAACACTGCAAAGTGCGTACCAGTAAAAAGCTGAAATTTCTTTACGTATATGATGAGTGTTGTGGGTAAGTTATTAAATTTCTATGTTTACAACCAATAGATGAAAATTGAAGTGCAGACATGCTTTCAATCAGACTCACACATACCTCTATATAGTGGATTAGTTGTTCAAACGACAGCAAGTAGTCAATAAAAAACTCAATGGGCTTACTATAACTCCACATAAACATTTTTTTCCAATGTACCACTTAATCTTGTAAGTCGGACATTCAGAAGTAATATGCTATTATTTCGCTCTTTCTCAAGATTAAATATAATTGACGGATTAATGCTGTTGAATATGTTGAGTAAATTGTCTTTGTTACTTTCATTTCCCAATAACACGAGTGTCGTCAATCTAACAGTGATAAAAAGTCAGTTGATTTATAATATTTATAAACGGTCCACTTTTCAGTTTTGTTAGAAAGAATCTGACAGAAAAGGACGCAATGATAATCCCATGGGTACACTATACCAGTACTTATAGTGTTTTTGTTGAAATAAAGGTGAACATTTAACATACATCTGAGAATTAGCTCTTACAATGCAGAAACGAGAATGGAAGTTTCGACAGCTGAGTAGTACTATCAGCCGTCTTCCTCACAGTAGTTCAGAGCTCAGTATATAAGCCTACAATAAAATTATTTCCAGTAATTAAATAAACATACACACTTACATAACACCTAGCATGTCTATCGATAATTACTTCTGACAAGTAAATTCTTTTAAATAAATACTTCACGTGAAAAGATTACAAGGTGGTAGTTTTATATATTTCATTATCAAGTCAGTCTATTTCAAAAACTAGGTAAAATATTCCAGATATTGATTGCATTTTAGTGGGGTTTTGGTATTCTATAAACTATCATTATAGTGTAATGGTTTCTGGATAATCATGAGATATCGTAGCAACTTTTGCCATTTTATGTTCATAGTGTCTTTGAACTATATATATAAATTCCTTAAATTCGAGTCTATACTTGTTATCGATAAGTAGTTCCCTTCACTCTCGCTCTGGTCAGTCAAAATTTGCGCTTTTTCAAATGACCCCACATAAAACGACCTTGGTTTGTGATGATATATATATATATATATATATATATATATATATATATATATATACTTCAAAGCATCATAAGTGCAGTTTACATATTTTAATGTGCATAGATTTTTCTATAAACCAACACATGTATGCGTACACACACAAAATATACATGTTATTTAGGTGTTTTCTGAATCATATCGTGATGATTTGATTATTATAATCATTTGCCAGCCTTTAATTACGCTAATAGCATGTGATTGTACTTATTCAAATTTTTAATTCTACAATTAGTTATGTACGGTATATATATACATATATATATAAGTTACTATACCCTTGTTTTATCAGGTTTTTAGATCAAGAATGATCTACGTTGTGGATGATCTTTCAAGCTTTTCATAAGTCATTGATCAATTAATACGAATCTCGCTGTGATGTATGCATTTCTTGATGCCTATTATATTAGATATACATATCATGAATCACGCACCACTTTAAGAGTTGTAATATTGTGTTACACTGTATATTTTAAGACTGGAACATTCTGAATTCAATAGAATACACAAGTATCAAGCGCTTTATATAATAAGGTACTTTATACGTGTCTATTCAATCCAAAATGATCCGCTGTTTTCCTTTTAAAGGCAGTTCTTGAAATATTTTATGAAACGTTAATGTCATTCACTCAAACTACACTCTAAGTATGAAGGCTAGTGATAGTACCTGGGTACTTACACCACAAATGAGGTGGGGACTGAATCTAAGATCTACTCATTGGAAACCGAGTACTTTAACATGTAAGTCACTCTTCAGTCAATAATTTGATCAGCGTAAGAGTTGGGCTTGGTAGGTCAATCAACAGGAAACGTGGTCAGTAACTTTGTGATAGTTAGTCGGTCGGTCACTTGTTCGTGCAAGCGAACAAATTTGTCAAATAATATTAAATGTGATTTTAATCCACATTTACAACTAAGCTCGAATAGCATGAGTAAATATAAGCGACCCGTACTTCACACTTACATTTAAGAAAAACGTTTTATAAAATCCGAGGCATAGGTTAGCAGTTATACAAATTACACATATGACAATGGTAGGATATAAATAGTAACTTACCTGCAAAAAGCCCAATTCCTTTAGTTATCTATCAGGTGTTCATGTGACGAAAGACATCTGATTGAAAATGAAATCCCTGTTTCCATATCACATTAAATTATGAGATGAAACAACAAAAAACGATTAAGAAATACCAGAGCTGTAATAGTCCAAGTCCCAGGACGGGGACTTCGCAATTTTTTATCGATGGTAAAATTACTCCAGTTTAGAATTAATATTAAGGCATTTTAATTAGTAGACTGAATAGTAACCATATAAGCAATTTTGAAGTAGATTTTCCGCCAACTTAACAGATTAGTTAATTCACTATGTTATGTGTCTATTTATGAGACTGCATTCAAAGTCACCTGTAATCTAACTTAAATACTTCATTTATGGGTTTTTACGTAGAAGCGTAAAAGCTAAAGTAGGCGCCTTAAGTAATTCTTTATCAAGACTGGTAACAAACATTTACGCTAACTACACTACTACATATATCTTAAAGAAATACTGAGTTTGCTGTACTCACAATAACCAATACGCTTATGGTTATTTTGTTCTGATGCTAACTACCACTGAGTTCTTGCATATCTGAAGCACTGAGTGTTTAGATAATTTCTTGAGACACATCGTTTTATAAGTTGAAAGTCAACTTAGTTATAGTAAAGCTTTTGTGAATACCAACGTTAACCTAAAGTAATGCAATTAATTGTTGACTTTTTAATCCAGTATTACAGCAGTGTTGGGGAAATTTCGTTTATATTTATCCTTGATGGGGTTAACGCCAAAGTCACATTAGTTTTATGTGTTCTGTCGGTGCAGTTACTGTGAAAGGAAAATGACGATAAAAAAGTTACGTTTTAGTTACTTCGGAATAAATTTTCAAAGACTCAACATCAGATGAATTTTATTGCCGGCTACATGATTCTTTCACAGAAACTATCCTGAAATTCGTTGGAGAGATATCGAAAATAACGCCCCCAAATGCCCTGGTACGGCCGAGAGTGGGGAGAGTCTGCTCTCCCTCTCGAAATGCTCTCATATGGCCACGCGAATATATAGCCTCTGACAGGGAAGTCCTACTCACTGCCTTCTCGTGGCCGGGGCGTTGTTCACAAAAGTGAGAGGACGAAAAGCGAATGTTCGGCGCTTTAACCGGGTTGGTGGATGTGGAGGATCCACCTAAGGGAGTTGAAAAACCCTGATTCCAAACCAATGGTACACATGGGCTCCAGTATCCTCAAGGAACGAATGGCGTATGAACCAACTGTTGGTCACCGGCTACCATGGGACTGCATCTCCTTACGATACTCCACTGCCTTGTGGACTAGACCTTTAGGTCAAAGGCTCCGGGTGTGGCCCCCTAAGAAAACCACCTGCTTCAGTCTGGGCACCTGGGCAGTATCACAGCCCTCACACAAATCGAATGAGACTTGTGAGGCGCATATTTATCTGGCGCTTCCTTGTACCAGCATTTATGTATTTAAATAAATAAATAAAATCGAAAATAACGCAACCAGAAATGTGTGCAAGAAAGACCCTACGATATCCTGAACCAGAATGTAATTTTTAGTTATTTTGCCTGGTGAGTATTAATGAAAATGAGAAAACTGATTCAGCAACCGTTGAGTCGGAACAACTTTGTAATTCTTACCATTGTTTCAGTATGATAACGACTTACTTACCCACATATTTGTGAACACACAAACACTGAAGCCTAAAGGTTGAACAGGAGCACCGTTAATACTAGTTTAGTAGCATACTATAATACAGAGAAGGGTGTAACAAACAAAGCAACGAGAATGGATGAGTACGCATTGAGAGGGAAATATCTAGTTTTATTTTGCATAGTTTAGAAGACTGAGATTTGATAGTATCTTTACCAACGGAAAATCATTGATACTCATATTTTAATTCTAGATGTGTTGTTTTATAGAACTAGAATATCATTTCCATTATTAAAAACAATTAGCTTTCAAATATTGTCACAAACTTATTAAACTTCATTATTACTGGAATAGATAGTAACAATGTTAGTGAAAAACCAAGACAATATCTAGCGAATGTTGACTCGTTGAAACTTCACTTAATGCTTAAACCGAAATACAAGTTAAGGTGATTAAACTGCCAATCCCTCGTCAAAATTTTTTTCAACATACTTCATGGTGATCAGAAAGCTATGATCCATAATTTCAACACATAACAAATATAGACTAACTAGTACAGTCAAACCACCCGATAGTAAGGATACCGTAATCAAAGGACTCCGGAAAAGGACATTGAAGTCGGTTGCGCAGAGCCCTTTCACATTTATATGGAGTGCATCAGTAAACACACATAATAGGATAAGGTTAAAAAGCGATTACTTCACCATTAATTCAAATCACTTTGGAAGCACTCGGTTCGGGATGTGTAGGATACATTATATTTTAATGACCTGATCAAGTGAGTAAAGATATCTTAATACAGTACTTTTTTAGGTATGCTAAAAAGCCGGTCGCTATGATGATTTGGAAGAATCATCCAAACATGTAAGACAGAAATCTCAACATACGGTGGAAAGTCAGATAGGAGTTTCATACACAACTTTTGGACCCACAATCCCTAAGACCATGTTTTCAAACCAAAAGATTCTTAGGAACACAGTCAACCACCGGTTTCATTGTGTAAAGAAGTGACTCCAATGAGTTATGCACGGATATAATAGACGAAACCAAACTAGTTTTAAACAAACTTACTTGTCATACATTATTAAACCGAGTTTATCGCGTTTTATCCCTAATTATAGACCGCATCAACTAGTAAAAAGTTATGCATGCAACCCTAACACAGAGGAGGACCGGAACTCAAATCCATACGTTCAGATTTTATGGTATGAACTAGGTAGTCATCGAAGCTGGAGTCAAAAGACGCCTTACCGTTATACCGTAAGCATTTTGCCAGTAAACTTTATACTAAAGGTTTTTAGGGTTTCACCAACACCATCAAACGTAACTAGGAACAAAGTGGTAAGTTTGGGGCGCTAATACTTTTAATTCCACTTTTTACTTTTGAGTTTTGTACTGATGTAACGATGTGATGTGAAAATTTAGACCAGTATATGTATTTAAATTATATATGGTTCTAAAGATCATAAACTTTGTAGTATTATGTATGCATCAGTAACCCTATATTCACCGACATGCTAAACTAGGCATAAGAAACGATAGACCGTGAGATTACATAAGAACTTGGCTTTAATTATTCTTTTCATATTGCTTTTACAACCCAAAAATCAACATATACACCACGTGGATTATGAAGGTAGGGAATGATGAATGGGAAAGTCAGTAAATAAAAGCAATCTTAGTACAATTCCAAGAAACACAAAATGAAACAAAATAAATAATCATGGGCTCGAAGCAGACAGACATGGATAAATGGTTTTATGAAGACAAAAAGTCAGACATAAGAATCCAAATATATTTACATTTAAAAAGTAAATGGTGACTAATTGGCTTTGTAGGCTTTATGTGAAGTGGAAAAACATTTAGTGTGGTATAACAAGGAATTTCAACGCTAGCGCAAGTGTTTCGTCACAACCAAACGTGAAATCGTACGTCCAGAGTATGACAGAAGCGCCTCTACACAAAGATTAAACCAAAATTACGACAGAAACTAAAACTCTGAATGTCTTTTGGCGGCCGAAAATATGGATCTTATGATGAATCGCAACATTGTATTTATAAGCATTACCATAAGTTAATATTGAAAGGAAAACGGTGAGGAAGATAATCGCTTCAAGGACTATCCTGTACTACAGCATGTTCCAGAAATGGAATTTGGAGGTTCGGCTAACCGGTGGACTTGAGTCACCGTAGACGACTCATGTCTACGTATAGAACTGTTATGGAGGATGGCGCGAGTCAGTTCCTCGAAGGCCTTGTGTACATTCGTTGACGACTTCGCACTTGTTTCCAGGAAGCCAATCTACAGAAAATTATTAACGAAGGATTCTCTTTACCCCATATTCCTCTGCTTTTTGCCGACCCTCTTCATAAGATACAACTCGGTTATGCGCCATGTCACACTTATTAGCAATCAGCAACTTCTCAACCTCATTTGATGCTAAAGAAAAGGTTCTATTCATCCACGTCTGGACGTTATCAAACGTTTGACGACTAGTAATATCGTATATCAACATTATACCCATGGCACCGCGATAGTAAGAGGAGGTAATTGTATGAAAGCGTTCCTGGCCTGCAGTATCCCATATCTTCATTCAATTGGTATCCCTAAGATGCTGCTTACCTGTAGCTTTATTTTCTTTCCTTCTAACTCAATTGTTTTAATCTTAAAATCGATTCCTATCGTTGAAATGAAGGTTGGTACAAAAGACTCTTCTACATAACGAACGAGTAGGCAAGTTTTGCCAACACCAGAATCTCCAATGAGCAGAATTTTAAACAGTGCGTCGTAAGACTTTTTTGCCATATTCTGACATGTTAGAAAGAGAAAATAAATGAACCAACGAACTCACAGTAAGATCACAGCAAGGTTGAAAACACCGCTTCCAATGTTCAGATGGTCCAAACGGTTCTGGACGGAATAGAAAACGCTTTCTCTAAATGGGCTTCGTATCTAGTGACAGTGGAGGTATACTTAGGTAAACTTAGAGATAAAAGCGAGAAAATATTGGTAAATTATGGTGAGATATTGTTCTCAGTCCTCAAGAATATATCAAGTTTTCTCTTGAAGGACAACTGAGAAGTCGCTTGGACTACCTCAGCCGACAGCGTTTGACTATTCTTAAGAAGTATGTGTGCCTACATTCTGTTCTGCTACGTTGTGTCTCCAGTTCCTGGGTGTTACCCCTAATGTTTGTGTTTGGACTGAGCATAAGTTGATATTTAAGGGGATGTTCAGAGGTGTTTAGTCATTGGAAGGTCACCTCTAAGACGACTATACTCTAATGAGTAAAGGTTCAGTGATTTGGAGCTCTCTTCATAAGTCTTGAATTTGAGTCCCAGAACTGATTTCGCAATTCGCCGTTGGACACGTTTCAATATATCTTTATCCTTTTGGAGTGAGAGCAGAAACAATATGCTTCCATACTTTAAATAGGGTCGAATAAAACTGTTGAAGATCAGGTGCAAAGTTCCACTGTCGAATTGGCCAAAAATGTGCCTCAACGTTAACACCAGCTTAAGGTTTGCTTTAAAGGCATTTTTGTTGCAGTTAGTGCAAGACATAGGATCATAGAATGCCAACACTCCTAAATCTTTTCCAACTTGGGATACTTCCGGGAGTTAGTTACCTGAGTTGTATTTGTAGCCTGTGACATGTCTCCGGTATACTACTTTACACTTTGAAGTGTGAAAAGTAAGTCTGTTGCTGTCCACTAAACTTCGAGGTCGAGTCAAATTCTTCTGAAGTGCTAGCTTGTCACCTCGGTTGCAAACATCTTGTAGCTGTAAATAATTCCCCAACATCAATAGCTCTGTAAGTTTCATAGTTATGGAGGAGTCCCATAATAGGACGAAACGGCCGTCCAGTGTTTCCAGGTTTTCCTCGGTGGTCTAGCTTCAATTAACTCATGCTTTCAACTATGAAGCTCTGTAAGTGTTAGATATTGGATGCTGACCACATTAGTTTTAGTGGACTCGTCTAGCTCGGTCATGCATCCGTACCAGATCACGTAGAAGAACGGCCTGGGAAGCATCTCCTACTATCATTAGCCAGATAAGTTCAGTCGCTTCTCGATATATTGACAACCCGTCAAATATGTCTTCCAACGTCCTCGCCTCTGACTTCTGATTTTAACTGGGTGTGTGCGATTCGATTATAGGTGGTACTGGTAAAGAGTTGTCAAACTACAATACAGGTGGTATCTTGAATCTCTCCAGAATTTCACATCGTCAGTGATAAGTAATAAATCGGACGATACTTGCTGAGGAATGTCGTTTTTAGAAGTTAAGGGAAGAAGACGTCCTAGTACCGAACCCTGGAGGACCCCACTAGAATATCCTGTAGCCTGAGGAAAAGTGAAGTTTACCCTGTCGATTATTTAAATATGAAGTAAGCCAATCTATTAACGGTGACTTGATATCTAACAATCTGAACTTATTGATGAGACATATATGATTGATCCAACCAAAAGCTTTTGAGAAGTCAAAGTATATAACACTAACCTTCTCCATGTGATCATTGATGGGTGTTCATTTATCCACCACGGTCATCCGGTTGACTATACGACAATAACCCTTACTGAAACCGTACTGTCGGGGTGAAAAGAAGTTTATGGAAATTAAATGGTCACGTAGACCACCGCATATAAGGGACTCCACAACTTTTGACGTATTGAGAGAAGTTCTACCGGCCGGTAGCTTGAGAGCTATCTATTTCGACCGCTTTTGAAAATCGGTGTAATGTGAGCCAGCTTCCAAGTTTCTGGTACCGCGCCTCGGCTCAGAGACTATGAGGACATCACACTAAGCGGTATTGCCAAGATTGAAGCTGATTCCCTCAGTATAGCAGAATGGAGAATATCTCGGCTAGGTGAAATGTCATTGTTTGGCTGCTGTAGTTTCTGTTACACCAAGTCATCGCCTTCGTCCGCTTCTCAGATTCCTGTTGGGTCGTGCGTGAAATTCGTCTATATAGTTAGTTTGAGACGATTGGAACTTCTGAAATTATTGCTCAACTAGAAGGTTGGCGACGTCACCGCCGTCGTTGGTTTGACCATCCGGACATAGAAATTGGAAAACTCCGGTTTTGGCTTGTCGAAGAGTGGCTGCACGACGGAATAAGGTTTTTGAGAGTGGAGACAGATTCGTCGATTAGCTTTATCTGATACTGAAGCCTGTCTTCCCTTATAGCCTTTGTATACTAGTTCCTTGCTTGTTTGAATTGCTTATATTTGCTGTTGTCACTAGTTCGTTTATATTCCGCTAACTGATGCCTTTTGAGCATTCAAGATCGGGCAGTGTGATCCTTGATGGCTGTAGTTTGCTTGTAATTTTTGGGGGTCGTTTGCGGAACAGACTGTTTGCATCACAAGGATCGTCTGCAGTAAGAAATCCAAATGAGCGTCCAAATCAAGCTGAGGGTGTGCATCCCAGTTCACCTGCTGTATATTGACCCGTAAAGCTGACACATCCAACCATTTGTAATTCCAACACCTGTTGTTAATAAGACTTTTGGTTTAATTCTACTGACAAAACTGGGGACTATTAATGCGAAGTCGCTTTTCCCCAAGGGAGCCAGGATTGAGATTGTCAATTAGGAATTCTTCGTTTGTAGATGCATTGTAGACGGCGTCTGTTTGCTTCACATTTTTGAATAATCCCAGATCCTCAAGGAGGTTGGAAAACCGAGCTTTGATATAGTTGTCACCTCCAATGTAAGTGTGGCTAGCGAAGTTGAATCTAGGAAAGTTGAAGTTTTCCAGAGCCAGGATATGAGTGTCTCCGAGAGGAGTAGAGTGGAATGATCCCTCCAGCAAACAATTATTTTACTCGGTGTCAGCAGTGGGCCTCCCTCCAACTAGACACTACGAGGTGTTAGACAGTCCTACTGAGCACCATGCAGATTCGTTAGGATTGATAAGCTACAGGATACACACATGTTGTTTTACCGAGTGAGATCATAGGTACAATGTTACCCCCGCCCATTTCCGTTTTCCCATTGGTGCGAAACAAACACATTCCGGGTATTGCTGGCTCCTGGTTCATAATTTGAGATGTTCTTGTTTTAGATATTCCTGTCGGATAAGTATTATTAGCGTTCGTACATAAAAAGCCGATGCTTTCGATTTGAAACGCGTGAGCTTCCCTGTCCTGTTTGTGTGAATGAGCTTTGAAAGTCCATAAGTGAAATAGTCAGCTCCAATTTGCCTTTGAGCTTGATTCCTGTGTCGTGTGACCTGTGTGGATGCATGTTGACTCTAGTTTTTAACCGACGTCCGTCGGCATTAAATGCTTAGAAAGTGGCAGTCGCCATTCGGATAGGAATGCTATCTTCATTAACTGAGGTCTAGAGTCCTCGTTCTTCTGGGATAATCTTTCCACCTGTTGAGACAATATGTTCTTGAGCTTCAAAGACTGCTTTGTGAACCTGAACTATAGAATATCATAGTCAGGAATAGTGTTTCCTGGAACAACCTTCACAATGATATTTCTTCCGGGAGAGAAAGTCTCACAAGATACCTCAGGGATGTTCCAGATGATATTATGTTTATCTAAATAATAAGATGCTAGATATATATCACATCTTAGCGATGATTTTTTGTAACCCCCAACCGTAGATTTGTGTTAATAGATGACACCCTAAAATAAATGGCTTTGTATGCATTCTTAACCGATCCTGACCCACTTCATCTTAGCATACATTTTCAATTTAAGAATTGTATAAAATAATACCCTGCCATAACCCAGATGAGAATTTTATCTACCTCTGTCTCCAATCAAACGTAGTGTTTCTTTCCATCATTGTCATTTCACTTCTTGCGCGTTTTCTTCGGAGGGTTTGATGCTTGGATAGTTGGATTCATCTTATAGATATTCTCACACTGATGAGCCCAACTTCGTTAGCGATCATCAATTTCGGTATTACAATGGCAATGCCGTGAATTCATCCATTTATAAACCTGTAGAATTATGGTCTAGTTTGGATACAGAAACAGATCTTGTACCTAAATTGCAGATTTGAAGACTTGTCATGATGTGATTGCCTGACCTGTAAGATATTTCGTGAAATTCACATCATTGTTTACAGTGACTCACCCTTTCAGGACCAACCACAATATATTGTCTGGCGCTTCTGGAGAGCACATTTCGTTTGGAGATAGAACAATACACTTAGTGTGAACAAAATAGATAATTTACACAACAATGATCACGCCTACAAGGCTGAGCTATGCCATCATGAATGTTCCCAAGTTCACAATTGTTCGCTTTCTCCCTGGGTTAAATTTTAAATATCTATCTTCCCAATTATCTCATGTTCAGCTTTGAGGATTGTATGGTTAGGACTAATACCACTGCGTAATCTCTATTTTACCCACTTTTCCTATTATTACATAAACTTTATAAGCCTTTATTGTCAGAGATCATACATCTAAACTTATTTCGTAGCAAAACCACTAAATTCTCCATCTATTAATTAATTTTCGTCTAGCGTCGTCGAAAAGTAATTTAATTATGGTGTTTTACGTGAGCCAAAAGTCAGAGACTAACGTGTTTATATTTTAGGACGTTAAAGCCGTTACCACCTAAAGCAGGTTGAAAACGTGTCGAAGTAGTCCCTCAACGTCGAATTTGCTGGGATTTGGGACTAAGACTCACTACCTAATTCCAGAGACTGACAGATATCCGCTTAGTCCACCACTCAGTTACAATATTAACAACCTGGTAGTCATAGCTACAGGTACTAAAGTCTTACAGGCTGTCACCTTTTCATTCTTATGCTTATAAAACCCATGAGTCTCGGTTTATATAACTTGGATTATTGATCCACTGAAAATCAAGCGGGTACCAATTCCGGGATTCCTAAAAACGACAACCATCAAG